AATCCCACATGGCCCACCGTGGTTTGCATCCCGGACCTGGTAGCTTGCTTTCTCACTTTCTCTCTCTTTCATGAAATTAAAAAGAAAATAAAAATAAAAAATAAATAATACATTAAAATTATTTTAGTTAATTTATTATTAGTTTAGAGGTTTTTCCTTAGGGTGCATGCGCTTGCTGGAGAGAGAGAGAGACAGAGACAGTGAAGGGGAAGTGAGAAATCACCCCCTGGGGGGCGGTCATGTTGCAATCCCTTCTTCTCCATTGTCCTCCCAGGATCTTGGCATGCATGCACACAAACTCAGAGTGAGTTTCAGGCCTCCAGGTTTGGGACTTGAACTGTGGTTGGTCATGAGAGAGTCAAATGATAACTGCTGAACTGTCTGCTGGCCCCAATTATTATTATTATTATTATTATTTTTTAAGAGGTTTTTGCTATAGGGCGCATGCGCTCGCCAGAAAGACAGAGAGAGACAGAGAGATAGAAAGCAAGAAATCACCCCCCAGGGGGGATGGCCACGCCACAATCCCTTCTCCTCCATTCTCCTCTCGGGATCTTGGGCACGCACGCACACACGCCCAGCATGAGTTTTAAGCCACCCGATCCGGGACCCAAACTGTGGTCGACTACATGGGAGTCCAGCAACATAGCCATTATGCTAACTGCTGGTCCCTGGCCCCAATTATTATTATCTTTAAATGTGACTAGAATGAGACACAAAGTGAGAAAGTAAGCTGCCAGGTCCCATACTTGAACCGCGGTCACCCAGGTGGGAGTCCAGCACCTTAAACACCATGCCATCTGCCAGCCCTCTCATATTTTTTTCTTTTTCTGAATGAAGCTTTTTATATTTTGTGCATCAGACCTGTTTGTTTGGCTTCTAGCTCAACCTGAGTAGTATGCAGTATTGGATTGGCGCTGAAATTAGTTGATCTTGGCTTATTTCTTATATTGCATTATTTCCATGAACTTAAACCGATTGCAGTACCTACAGTACTATCATACCCCTTAATTGGTAGTGTCAAGGAAAACTAAACAGGAAATTAATATCAAAAGTCACTTTGTTTCCACTGGGTATCCTCCCAGAACAACAAAAACCGTGACCATGGGAAGACAGTTTGCAGTCCTTGGGAAGAAAGCCTTTTGGTTAGTTGGAACTGCAGCAGAGCTTTTGTGCTGAGGAAACCCTTGGCCTAAACTGTTTCTCAGTGTTGGGGCTCATGCCAGCACCTGCACTATCAGTTTCATTTTTTGAAAATACTGACCTAAATTAAAGTAAGGATATCCTTGGAGAGTTAACAGTCCGATATGTAATTAATACATTAAAGTGAATAAATCTATCAGGCTTTCCCAATATAAAATTCGGCTAAAATTAAGTTTGGGAAGAAGGCAAGAAACTACATCCAGTATGGGGGCACTTGCTGAGAAAGAATGTACTGCTTTGGAGAATGTGCACAGAGGAAGCACAGTGGAACTAAACACGTGCCAAGGAGTTGAGGGGGCATAGAAAGAGTCGAAGACCTGGTGATGCATTTGGAATATTTCCCATTTTTTCTGTTAATTATCTGAGATTCAGCAGCCAACTAGAAGACCTTGACTGTATATTAGCAGTTTTCAACTCTAAAAAAGAACTGGTAGTTTAGATGACTATCATGATGAGGTAAAAACTTAAAAATAGTATGTGATTCTATTAATGGTAATCTTTAGACAGACATTTTATATTTTATAAATAAAAGTTTTAAGATACTAATATACTTTTCAGTAAAAATAAATCATTTCATAGTATATGTATAACGTACAGACCAACACTTATTCTTTTATTAAAATTATTTATTTGATTATTATTTTTTTTAAGTTTGCTATAGGGCATGTGTGCTCACCAAAGAAAGGGCAAAAGCAAGTCACCAAGTCCAGGACTTGAACCATGGTCAGCTATGTGGGAGTCCAGCACAATAACCACCATGCCACCTGCTGGCCCCACCAACAGTTATTTTTTTTCTTCTCAACATACTGAATACATGAAAGTTTTCAGATATCCAAAACACAAGACTGATCTCATTTAAGACAGGGAATACTTTATTCAAAACCATCAGAGAAATGGACAGTTTGGGTCTGTAACAAAGCATTCATATTTTAAAGCATAGGCCAGTAATTGTACATAAGAGCATACACTGCTACATACAAATTAACTGATCAGACCACAACTTTTCAATATTTAAAACAGAATAAGTTTCCCTGTGAAAGCAGCACCTTTGTGACATTTTAACTTTAGTATTCCTCTCCTTCTTCCTCACCCTCTCCTTCAACAGAATCCACACCAACCTCCTCATAATCCTTCTCAAGGGCAGCCATGTCCTCTCGGGCCTCAGAAAACTCTCCTTCCTCCATCCCCTCACCTACGTACCAGTGAACGAAGGCACGCTTGGCATACATCAGGTCAAACTTGTGGTCCAGGCGAGCCCAGGCCTCAGCAATGGCTGTGGTGTTGCTCAGCATGCACACAGCACGCTGCACCTTGGCCAGGTCTCCCCCGGGCACCACAGTGGGAGGCTGGTAGTTAATGCCAACCTTGAAGCCAGTGGGGCACCAATCCACAAACTGGATGGTGCGCTTGGTCTTGATGGTGGCAATGGCAGCATTGACATCTTTGGGAACCACATCGCCACGGTACAACAGGCAACAAGCCATGTATTTACCATGGCGAGGGTCGCATTTCACCATCTGGTTGGCAGGCTCAAAGCAAGCCTTGTTGATCTCTGTTACAGAAAGCTGTTCATGGAAGGCTTTCTCAGCAGAGATGACAGGGGCATATGTGGCCAGAGAGAAGTGGATGCGGGGACAGGGCACCAGGTTGGTCTGGAATTCTGTCAGATAGACATTCAAGGCTCCATCAAATCTAAGGTAAGCAGTGATGGAGGACACAATTTGACCTATAAACCTATTCAGGTTAGTGTAGGTTGGGCGTTCAATGTCTAGGTTTCTACGACAGATGTCATAGATGGCCTCGATGTCTACCATGAAGGCACAGTCAGAGTGCTCCAGG